GCAGTGCTTGGACACTACAGGCATCTCTGACCTGAGGGCACTTAGTATAAGGTGATGCCATAGCTGTGAAGAGGCGAAATAATGCCTGGAACATGGGTGGGCAGACTCAGCCAGCAGCAGCACTTACAACAACATCAGCAGCCCTGTGGCATGTTCCCTCTGTGCTGCTTAATATGCGACGAACAAAGGTCTGGTTGGTGACCCAGCCCTCCCTGTATTCAGAGGCTGAAAACTGCCTCATTATTGTTCATTATGTAGTATTATTCTCATGCAGTCACATTATCATAGCTTCCCCTGAGAGCCAGGATGCTGCTGTGGGCTCTGCACAGCTACACTGGTTCCTATACCTGAGCTAATTTGTTCAGTGCTAACCTGATGTCTCTGCAGGACAGAGAGCTATTCCCCTTGTAAGGGAAGGTTCAAGCATTAGTTATAGCTGCTGTGTGCGAAGTACAACATACACTGTCTATTTTTGACAGGGACCTGGTTTGCTGGCCCCACTGTGAGAACGTGTTAACTCATCCAGGGGAAATTCATTCCAAACTCAAGTAATGGTTGCAAAGGAGGTACATGCAAAGAAATCAACTGTGGAGAGCGAGTGGAGGGTTGAGGGAGAGAAAGTTGTATGCAAGAGCAGCAGCAAGAAAGGGGAAGTGTGGCAGGGGTTTTAAAGGCATTCCAAAGCTCAGAGGTAGTAATTAGTTTCTAGATAGCTTTGAGGTTAGGACATCCAAAATATTACCCATTCTGCCTTCAGATGAAACAGAAATGAGCCAATTCTAGTTTACAGCCAGTGCCCAGATCATTGCAGCCGCTGCATCATTGTGAGTTGGCCACCATTTGAGATCTCGCTCTATGGCACTGCGGTGTTCAGGTGCACAGAAAGGAGAGAATGCCTCAGTGCAGTGAGGATGCTGACAGAAAACAGAAATAATATGATGGCAGTGATTGTATACATTTTGCTTTACACATGAGCTGACAACTACTGATACACACAGTTCAGTTCAGGAAAGACAGGGGAGGCAGTGAGCCTACTGTTAGGCACTGGAGAGCATACAATGAAGAAAAAAGATAACATATATTAAGTGGTGTAAATTAACACCACAAAAAAACCCACAATAAATATAAGGGAACGCTAAAAGCGAATACCAACAAATGGAAAGTACATGGACATAGCACAGAAAATTTAAAGTGATAGAGTTCGTAGGATGTTTAGCAATAAAGTGGATAAATCTCCTGTAAATCAATAGCAAATATAAATTCTGCATGGACCCTCTAAATTTTAAAAGTCAGTATCTTTTCTGCTCCCAGCTTGTGGGATTCAATGCATCAAGTCCATGTACCAAAGTGCCATCTCTTTGCTGTGTTGCCCTTCTGTCATTCTTCACAAGGAGGAAGGATGGTGATGGCCCTTTGATAATGTTAAGGATGAGTTCAGTATTGGAAAGGACTTGTATTGCACCCCAGGTATGTATAGAGAAGGAGATAACCAGAGATCAGAACAGAGCCCCTTACTCCAACAGCACATTCCTAAGTCTCTTGCATTCCAAACATGGCCATTGTTGCCCTTACTAACAAGTAAATAGCAAACAGCTCTTTTCCAAGATTAGTATATAGAGAAGAACGTAGTCACAGGAACAAAAGCAGCAAGGTAGATTGACCCTTACTACTGAAATAATCACATAGTATTGCCAATCAATGAAGTCCAGAGATGGGACATACATAGGAGTAATTTGGGAAGGTTCCACAAACAGTATTTATTACTTGTTTTATTCTTGCTCCTACCCTTGTTCTTTCAGGGTTTTTGATGTTGCTATAACAATTCACAGTTTTGCAAAGTTTGTGTGTCATTTTTACCTTCTGGACCATGGAGATGTATTAGAGAGCTTGCTGATGGAAATGTTCATAGAAGTAGTGTGCAATCAGAAAAAAAATTAGGTTGGAAGGGTCCTCTGGAGGTCTGTAGTCCAATTCCCTGCTCAGAGCTGACTTCCAAGCTGGATTAGGTTATTCAGGGCCTTGTTCAATTAAGTTTGGAAAATCTCCAAGGATGGAGATGCCATAACCTGATTGAGTACTTAACAATTCTCCCTGTGAAGACTTATAGGAAAAAGACAGCAAGAGAAGTAGACTATATAAGAGAATGTAAGACTATTTAATTAGAATATATAGGTGAAGATCATGGCAATAGGAGCTTTCTGTATGGGTGATAAGGTAGAACAAAAGAACAGCAATATACTTACAGTAACAGCAGGATTTCTATGACTGCCTTTGCTGGCAACAGTAGTTGGACGTTGCAGACTGGAGAACTTTGTTTGGGTTTCTTCATAGGTAGTTTTGATCACAGTGTCCCCAGGATTTTTCTTTTCTGGAAAGCTTTCTTTAGATGCTTAGCTGACTTTGCTGATTCCTTAGCTTCCCTCCTGTGGAAGCCTAAATCCCTTTCAGGTGGTAGTGACATACAGCCCATGTCTGAATGGTGAGAGAAATGAGATCCTGAGGAGAGGTGTCATCTCCAGTGCCAGTCAGCACCACTACTATATTCTTACCATCCTAGTGAGCAAAGGTCATCGAGCTGCAGGACTGCAATGTGGAAAAATGATGACACAAGAGCTTCTTGATAACACAGTGTCAGCCTTAGGAACAAAGTAGAAAAAATATGGGTTTGAATAGAAAGAAGCAGGGGATGCTTTGCACAGCCTTCTTGGTGTCATTACCTGTTGCTATAGTGTTTTTTAACCTGTCCCTCTAATGAGTTTTGAAGGCCTGGGAGGCACAGGCAGGATCAGCCACAGGATGAAACATCAGTCAGTGTTTGATTTTACAACAGAACTATAGCTGTGCTAGTTGACTGACAAGTCTTGCTTACTCAGACTTAGCCCCCACTCTGCAAAAAACAGCAGTCTCCTGCCCAGGCCAGGCAGCATTGTGTGTGGATAGACCTGGAGTCAGAGGCTGTATTCCAAGCATATAACTTGGCTTAACTCTGAGCTGAAAACAGACCTTAAATACAGCAGTTCAGCTCCTGGGTACAAGGAACTTCATTGCCCTGTGCGTCCAGAGTCCAAGCCTACACACAGCCTTTGTTCCCAAGCCAGAAAGGTGTGCTATCTGAAAGCTGCTTGGGTAGCAATGCTGTAAAAACCTACTGGTTTATGCACAGATTTCCTGCAGTCCCCACTGCATGCTGGCTGCACATGGGAATATCCTGGGCTCTGGAAATGAGGTGTGTGAAGGTGTGCCAGAGTTCATTTAGATCATGCCAAAGATCCATACAAACTGTTAGAAACCAAACATATGCAGTCCATGTACTTTAAAATATACGTGCCCACATACAAGCTATAATTTACAGCAGCAATAGCATCCGCCCATCCCGTGGTATGGAGACTGCAGTCCCGGTAGCCCAAAACGCACCAAGGCTGCCAGAAGCTGCGGGGTGATCAGTGTGACCCCCTCGCTGGCCGTGGTTCACCTGCACAGCCCAGCTCAGCTCCCGGCCGCACCCCGAGGCCCGGCCAGCTGCCACCGGGCGCCTCTTGCTGCCCCTCGGCCGACCCAAGGCATCCCTTCCGCGCCCACCGCCTCTTGGAGGGGCTTTGCGGAACGAAGGCTGGGGAAAGGATTTGTTTTATTTCTTTATTTCTGGCCCGTTTAACTTATTTTTTTTATCCTAACTTTCTTCCTCGCTCTGCTCCTCGGGCCGGGCCGGGCCGGGCCGTGCGGGTGCTGCCTCCCGGCGGCGGCCGCAGGCAATGGCGGCGGGCCGGGCCCTGCCCCCGGCCGGGCGTGCTGCCCTTATATAAGGCCTTTATGTAGGCTGCCGGCCCGCTCTGCCCCTCCTCGCCCGCCGCAGGATCTCCGCGCTGGACAGTCGTTCTAAGAATGGAGAGGCCAGTGCAGCCCTCAAACCCTGTCCCGGGTGGGACGCAGGGGGACAAAGGCACGCGGGGAGAAGGGGCTCCCGCCCTGGCCCTCCGTGAGGAGAGTCCCGGCCTGTGGAAAGGGCTCTGCCGGCAGGCAGGACGTGCGCCCGAGGTGCCCCAGCACTGTTCGAGGGTCGGCAGGAGATAACGGGTTCCAGCGGCAGGGTTCCAGCCTGCTCGGCTGCTGCTGTGTGCCCAGGGTTCTCCCCCGGCACGCGGCGGCAGCAGCCGATGTTTGCCCGGTGCCCAGCCGCATTCCGGGCCCGGGGCAGCAGTGTCCCCTCCGGAGGCTGCATCCCGGGCTGGCAGCGCAGCTCCCTGGCGCGGGAAGCGCCGAGGGAGCTCCTGCACCTGTGTAGCGGAGGGAGGACAGTGAGGCAGGTGTTCGCTGTGTGATTCAAAGCCTGCCGCTTCGCCCGGTGCCTCGGCTTCTCCAGCCGTGAAGCTAAGGTGGTGACTGACTACCTGCTTGCTGTTCCACTGAGGCTTAATTCCTTGGAGGTTCTGGATGGAGGGAGGTGACGAGAGCTCGTGTGCTCAGTACTCATAGACAGCTGTTTCAGGTTCCAAGTCTTAATGCTTTACTTAGATGAACTCTGCATCTCAGAATTGCCTCAGTGCTCTTCCCCACAATCAAGTCTCTGCACTGATTAGTTTTGAACTTGCATATTTGTTTGCTTTTCAGACAATTCTATTATATTTCTGTATAACTCTCTCTATTCAGAATGCTACAGCCTTGGTTAATATTTGTCAAACGGTGCTTTGACTGTCTAAACTACTAGGACGAGTTTCATTTTATATGTCATCAGTAGGGGCAGAATAAGGAGCTTCATGCTTGGCCTATTTGCTGTAATACAGTCTCAGGGCCATTGCATCAGAGTCAAAACAAGGAGCAGCTTGTTTCCAAACAAGAACTATGGAGGAAAGCCTTCTCTGCCTCCTTCCCTGTAAGGGAAAAGAGAGGCGAGAGGGGGGTGGTGGTGGGGGAAGAAAGTTATCTTTAACAGATTCTAAAAATGCCTTTTCCCAAATATGCAGTCAGTCCCTTCAAAGGTCTCTTTGTTTATTTTCAGGAAGAAACCCAAGACAGCTGAAAACCAGAAGGCGTCTGAGGAGAATGAGATTACTCAGACGGGTGCATGCAGCGCCAAGCCGGGCCTTCCCTGCCTGAACCTTGAAGCTGTTCCTTCTCTGAGCCCAGCCCTCATCCACTCTCCACATTCACCAACAAACCTGCACGCACACACAGGGTCATCTGATTGTGAGTACACCAACATGCTGCTGGGGTTCCTGAAAACACCTCCCTTACTGTGCACCAGGTTTTCCAGTTGGATGCTCTTCCCATAATGTCATAAAGAGGATCTTCTCAGGGCTTACCTTCTCCCTTCTTTGGGAATTACATCTAAAGCAGAACATTTTTGTGGTAAGATTGTGATAATGCAATCAGCCAGAAAAAAACTGAGAGCGTGTTGTTAGGTCAGGTTGCTGCTTATGGCAAATTAAAAAGGAGAGACCCCTCAAGCATGTCCCTGTCCAACTAGAACTGTTGCTCTGCTCCAAGTAGTCACAAGCTTCTCATTACCCAACCAGATCTCCTGACTGGAGGGGTTTCAGTCTGTGCTGAAAACGTGGGCCTGGCTCTGCAGCCCAGGACTGTAAAGTTTCCATGAAGAAAGGGGAGCGTTTTGTGGAGAGGATCAGTCTGTGAGAGGCTGGAAAATCTTTGTAGACCTGTGTGGTTGTACCAGCCTTAAGGCCCTTGTTTTGAGGGCATTTACTTTCAGATTACTCAGCATGGGTTAATTGCCCTTTAGAAAATGTTCTTCTCCATTTTGCCAAAAAATACAAAAAATAAGGGGGGAGATTATTAAAACTGGATTTTGGAAAGTCACCTGACCTTGCCAGCTCTTCAAAACATTGTCATTTCACAGAGGTCCTTGCCTGGAAGTCTCTTGGGCAACAATGTGCAGGGTAATGTGAATTTCATCACTCACTAGTTTTAGAATATATAGTTTACCTCTTCTGCAGTGGTTTATAATGTAAATTTACAAGGCCGGGGGGGGGGGAAAGAAGAAGATGATGACACCAGGTTTCAACAGCTCGGAAGCCAACCAGACTTTGCAATAGCCTGTAAAAAAAAAAAAAAATCAGGGCATGACAATAAAAAATCAGATTAAAAAGTATGTGTATCCTTTTCTTTCTTTAATTTAAAAATCCTGCCTCAGGGCCAAGCTTGGAAGCAGTCGGGTTATAGGGATCATCACTATCAAAATCACTTTAGCTGCAATTCATTCCTGTTGGCTTCTGACTTTATTCATTATGAGCTTCTGCTAGAAATCTTGATTTTAATAGAGCTGGTAAACATTGGGGAGACTTTCCTAAATCTCACCTGGTGATTTGGGGAGAAGAAAGAGCTGTGAAACAATTGAACAGCAGGCAGTATGCAATTTAGTATATACAAGAATTCTTTTCAAATTGGAGATGTCAGACTCTTTGTTAAAACTGGGGTGCAGTTTTGTCTTGTAATGTTTTCTGAAAACAAAAAGCTTGTGAAAAGATGCAAAAAATGAGCAGAACAACAAGAAAAAAATAATCCTTATTTTCAAACAAAGAATCCCTTTATCCCATTCACAAAGATGAAAGAGTTCATTAGTAAATGGGATTTGAAACCTCACACTGATTTTTTTGACAGTACAAATGGAAACCCATGAAAGCAACCTTAGGACAGAGGCCAGCAGGGATTGTTGGGAACTTGGAGAATGAGCTCCTGCTTTTGCTTTCTGAGGTGGCCAAGTTCAGGGTGAGGAATATTGGCAGAGGGCAGCAGGGGAAGGTGGAGCCTGCAGCTCTTCATGCTCTACCTGTTCTGTGCACAGTGTCTTTTAGACTCCTAAGTTTTTAGGAGACACTGTCCCCAAGTCACCTTCCAGATGATGTCAAAGGCCTTTTCCACAATTGTATTATTCTGTAAATAGGAGTAAACTGCCAGCCCAGGTTAGATGCTTTCACACTGCAAGTGTGAGGGATTTTTTCAGAAAATGGGTTTAATAGCAATTCCAGCATTAACATTGTCCTGTCTTGTGAATTGTTGAAATTTAGTTCCCAAAATATAGCTAAAGTCCTGCAAAGATTCAGGAAATAGTAAGACCTCTGGTGGTATTATCTCTGTTACCTGAAAGCAATAGAAAATCTCACAATTATTTATTATGGGTTATGACCTTTATCAGGCTGTATTTGTTAGGGGTGGTATGCATATAATTAGTGTTTGGCACGCCCTTGCAAAACAGCAAGAACCCACATGAACTGAAATGAGGCATGATGAATATTTACTGCATATTTACTGTAGCTCTCTACCATGTTTTATGGTATTTTCATACGGCCTCGATCCTTCGATTGCTGGAATATGTTTGTGGACACAAAAGATTGATTTTTGTGGCACCCAACTTTAGAAACAGGTCTCCCTGCAGTTACAAATGCTTTCTCCATACCTCTGATGTGCCCTGTCTTTTGGGTCAGTTCTTTCCCATCACTCTACAATCTCTTTCTTTGTCCTTCTCTTCCTCTCCCCTCAGAGCTACATTGCCGCATCTTTCTTCCTCTCAACTTTTGGACCCATGGTGATGCTTTTCTTCTTTGGGCCAGCAAGACTTTCTGTCCTTCCCTCTACCTTCAGACAGCACAACATTGTTTTTCTTCCCTTGCCCACACCATCCTACTGCCTGGGCAGTACCCCCACAGCTGGAGAGATTTTGAAAGGACATTTTGAACCTCATTTTGAAAGGACATTCTTCATTTTGCTGGGGGGTTTTCTAGTGGATGGCAAATAGTACAGAAATACTATAGAACTAAAGTTAGACTGAAAGTTTGGGAGGAATTTTCTCTGAAAATACCAGAAGCACCCAGAAAGAGTCAGCATGGTAGGGTGTATCAATTCTTGGAAAAATGCACGGATGTACAGATGGTTTCATAAGGCCTCATTTATGTATCTGGGGGAAAAAAAAGGCTTGGATTTTATGGACCACCTATTCAAATCAGTTTGAAATCTTCACTGACCATTTTGCATGCACAGTCACTAGTGCTTGGCAGAAAACAATACCACATATTTATTATTATGAGAAATGTTCAGAAGCCAATCTACTTTAAAATATCAGGGTGCTTTTGGAATGATTCAGATTATTTTTTTTTCCAAGCAAAGGAAATAAAAACTCTGTGATAGCCATCTGCTCCTCAGCTGTAAAAGGCAGAGGTGAAGAAAGCCTAAAGCAATAGTCTGAAAGCCAGTCTTACTGATATGAATACTTAGGAAAAAAAAAAAACCCTTGGGTAAAGTCATATGTGATGCACAACATAATTTAAGGTTTCATTCTGTAGCATATATTCTACATGCTGCTTCTGGTGCCACTTATTCAAAATGAAATTGCATTATTCCTCAGATTTGTAGGACTAGGTCCTAGATTTCTGGGTTTGAACACTATTTCCAGCACTGATGAATCCCTGAAGCTAAATCCAGGGCACAGGATGCACTGTGTCCAGTCCCATCTCTTTTAGTCTTGGGAAATGCAATACAGTTGGAGAAACAAGTTAGAGGAAGAGGTGCTTCCTGAGGTAACTATTTTCATGGAGGGCTTAGCAGCCCTCATTATTCAAAACCACCACTAATAATTGAATTAATTTGGAATTAAATGATAAGAGTGAGCTGATAGAACTGCAGCCGAGTTATGCATTGAGCTTCTCAGCTGTCACCAACAGATCTGTCTGCTTACCCAGAAGAAAGGTGCTCGTGCAAGGACAAGTACAAGTTGTGGAAAGGTTATAAAAAAGCAAAGGAAAGCAATGAGATTTGTTCTATTCACATTTTTTTTCACATATTTCCTTGCTTATGGATAGAGAATGCATAAAGTGCATAATAAGGCTGTAGTTCAAAGGCTGAACAGCCTCAGGTAAAGTTTCTAAAGATTTCAGTGAGAAGAAGAAGGTCATCAGGAGTTGGCTGTATTTAAACTGGTTTGGTCTGCATAGGCCACTTATTTCAGGAGCTTTTCAGAAAGCATCTATAACTGTATATATTTTGCAAGCGTGCCAAGAGATAAGATCATTTTGGCAGAAACTTTCACGAGTTCTCAAAGATACAATCAGACAAAAACTTCATTCAGGCTCTGATGTATGCATCTTAACAGATGTGTCCAAACTCAAAGGAACCCCACGGGAACAGTGCAACTGAATCTCTTTGTCTCTATTGATAGTTAAAAGAGTTATTCTTAGACATTGGATGGTCCATCTGTGAAGGAATTTGTTCCAGACAAGACAAAAGCAACATCTTTGCAGAGAGTTTCCATGGGACGGAGAGGCAGGTTGGACAATGACTGAAAAACTTCTGAAGCAGTATTTATGATTTTAGAGAACACAGAATTCTTGCAGAGACCTGAGACTCTGGTAAGGAATGAGCTGAGAAGAAAAGTAAGCCATGAATATTTTTTTTTTTAATCTGTTAAACAGTCATTGACAGGTTGTCGAAATAAGGGAGGACTTTCTAAAGTTATGTTTTAGCAAGGGATGGGGGTGGTTTTTTGCATTAAATAGAATGCACTTTATAAACAGTGTCAGTGATAGACCATATCTGAGCTCTTTGCCCCTACATGCTCAAGTACCATGGCTGACTTGGTCCAATTCCAGCATTTTTCAGCTTTCACAGGACAGGAACTTTGAAGCAGAGCATTTGCTTTTTTCTCTTTTAAGTACTGATTTTTGTAGCTTCTTAGCCTTCCAGCATGACAGGGAAAGACAGGGTGGGAACCTTACAAGATTCCTGAACTCTGCAGAGCATTGAGAGTGAATATGGAAACTCTGGGGTTTTGTTTTCTTGAGCAGCTAGAGGGACTCACCATTCCCTTCCCATGCATCTGCCAGTTCAGTTTGCCTGGGGCTAGTGTAGAGGCTGGGTAGATCTGAAGATGGTTTGGCCTCATCTTTACCTTTTAGGTTTCTCTTGGAGGTTCTGTGGCAGGAAGGGAACAGTTACATGCCCTGATGGTCTTTTTCTTCTCCCTGGAAATTTGTGGCTGTGATTCCCTAGGAGCTGCTCTGGAGCTTTCAAATAGTCTTCACCCTCAGTGAAGACAGGAGGCCCCCTGATTCTACCAGCTTCCTTGTTTAGACAGTCAGGCAGTATGAAATAGTAATTTCAGCTGTATTTTTGCTAATCTATGTATGGCATGTCTTAGCTAATGCCGAATATTTTTAGGTTGTTTTTGGTGACCTAAG